GGCAAACTAAGGCTGCTTTAGACTGTCACAGCCTTCTGGACTCGAAGAACAGAATTTCTCATATCGATTCTGTACAGTAGGATTGTGGCATCAATACTTCCGTATACAAACATTGTTTCTGCTGGTTCGCTTAAGCCACGAGAAAAGCTCACCGCATGGCGGTAGGGCACCGTCGGGTAACACGCTGCCGTCCGCGGAATAGCCTCTTTCGTCAAAATCGTCGAGGTAGGGGGTTGTGCCTGCTTGGTTACCTTTGCCTTGTCCCTTCCGGTGCTTTGCTTGCGTGTGCGGTCGCTCAGTAGGTGGTTTCCTTTCTCGTGTCGGTTTTGAGAAGTACTTTGGGCAGTTTGGAAACAAACGAGGCACGACGTCGTCTTCCGGGGCCCACTTGTCGCGTGGAATTACGACCACGTCACCACGAATGCAGTGCACGAAGTTCTTCGTGATGTCGTCCTCGTGGAAATGCAGATCACAAACCAAAGGAGAGCTTGAAAGCTTCTTGTCTTCTCTTGAAATAGCACGCTGTTACCTCCGAAGGCCTTCAGGGTCGTTCGGTGGTCTAAAGAAATGCCTCTTTTCGACCGCAGATGCAGATCCCGCGGAATCGTAACCGCTTTTGCACCCTGGCACAAAGTGAAACGGCATTTTTATAACACCACTTGCATGGCACATCAGCACATTCCAGAAGTTATCGATGAGAATGGGGACAAACTTGGTCATATCTGACCGAAACGTGCAAAGAGCGGGGGGCCAGTCGGGCTGCAGGATCGGGAAGCCAGGAGCAAACCGGACAAACCCCGTCGCGCGCGCTTCTCGCGGCGAGCCACGGAAAGGGTACACACGCCATGCCAGAGTTCAGCAAGTGAAAAAAGTGAAAGCCGTTTACAACTTCCTGTAACGCCGAATTGGAGCGCAGCTCTTGAGGAGGAGTGGAGGGTATATTCCTCCTCCTCCCTCGTGATCTTGCCTGCTAGTCCTCCTCCCCTCCTGCTCCCCCTCCCTCTCCTTTGCCACCTTTACCGGGCGGGGGAGGAGGGGGGAGGAGGAGGAGGGGGAGGGGCGACGCCGACGCCGACGCCAACGCCGACGCCGACGCCGCACAGGCTGGAAACGGGTCATGTGACCCCCTCCCCCCGAGGTCACGTGACCCGCCCGGACCATACTACACAAAGAGGGGAGGAGGAGGAGAAGGAGGGGGAGGAGGAGGGGGAGGAGGAGGAGGGGAGGAGGAGGAGAGGGAGGGGCGCGGTTACGCCGACGCCGACGCCGACGCCGACGCCGCTCAGGCTGGAAACGGGCCCCTAAGAGCTGCGCTCTAAAATGGTCTACTAACGTTGCTGCCACCCACGTGCCAAAGGATGTAGAAGTCCGGAACCTTTCTTATCCAGACTCTTCTAAGTGGGAGGCCTGGCAGCGCACTTAGCTTACGCGTTTTTGCCATGGAGAACGGAGTTGCTGGAGCGGAGATAAGCTCTGTTAAGAAGCCGAAACCTAAAAAACACGTCCAATTTAATTTTTAGAGCGCAGCTCTTAGGGGCCCGTTTCCGGCTTGAGCGGCGTCGGCGTCGCCGTCGGCGTCGCCGTCGCCGTTGGCGTCGCCGTCGACGTAACCGCGCGGTGCATCATGGGGAATGTCCCATAATGCACCGCGCGAGCCCCCCACCGGGGTCACGTGACCTCGTGGGGGGCACGTGACCCCCCGAGGTCACGTGACCCTGGTGCATCATGGGAAATGTCCCATAATGCACCGCGCGAGCCCCCCCACCGGGGTCACGTCACCTCGTGGGGGGCACGTGACCCCCCCCCCCAGGTCACGTGACCCCCCCGAAGTCACGTGACTCCCCTGAGGTCACGTGACCCCCGCCGATGTCGCGTGACCCCCAATGACGTCATCGTCACTGATGACGCCACCGGCATCCACATCGTCATCGTCATCATCACTGATGACGTCACCGGCATCCACATCGTCATCATCACTGATGACGTCACCGGCATCCACATCGTCATCGTCATCATCACTGATGACGTCACCGGCATCCGCATCGTCATCGTCATCATCACTGATGACGTTACCGACATCCGCATCGTAATCGTCATCATCACTCATCACGTCATCAGTGACGTCACTGATGACGTCACCGGCATCCGCATCGTCATCGTCATCGTCACTAATGACGTCACCGGCATCCGCATCGTCATCGTCATCATCACTGATGACGTTACCGACATCCGCATCGTCATCGTCATCATCACTGATGACGTCATCAGCGACGTCACTGATGACGTCACCGACATTCGCATCGTCATCATCACTGGTGAAGTCATCAGTGACGTCACTAATGACGTCATCGGAACCCGCATCGTGATCGTCACTGATGACGTCATCAGTGACCTCAGTGATGACATCATCGGCATTGGGGGTCACGTGACCCCCAAGGTCACGTGACCACCCCCTGGTTAGTTTAACCCCCCCCCCCCCAGTGCCCTTCCCTCCTCCTCCTCAAGAGCTCTAATTCGGCGTTACAGGGAGTTGTAAGCAGCTTTCACTTTTTTTTTACAGTGTAAAGTGCAGCGAATTTTTTATGTCATTGCAATATGGGCGGATTTAATAGTTTTGAAGAATTTGCATCGGGTTTTTATTTTAATCCTTACATTTAAAATTAAAATTGGACGCGACCTTAATGTTCAAAGCCCTATACTGCATGAAATGCAGTTATTTAGAAGCGATTACTCAATTGTTTTCTAGAAATATAGTGAGCACTCATTCCGGGAGCAAAGACCCTCTATTTTTATCAATTTTGGGGAAACTGAGTTCGTTTGTCACGTGAACAGGAAGGGGAGCGAGAAGGGAGGCAAGTGGAGAGGGAGGGGAAAGGGGGCACTTTAGGATGGGGAGGGAGGGGAAAGGGTGAGAGGTGCAGGGAGATTAGGAAAGAGGGCATGCGCCTTAAGAGAATGGGGGAGAGTTGGGCAAGAGAGAGAGACGAGCAAGGATAAAGAGAGAGAGGGAGAGAGAAAAATGAAAGCCGCTTACAACTCCCTGTAACGCCGAATTAGAGCGCAGCTCTTGAGGAGGAGGAGGGAAGGGCACGGGGGGGGGTAAACTAACCAGGGGGGGTCACGTGACCTTGGGGGTCACGTGACCCCCAATGCCGATGATGTCATCACTGACGTCACTGATGACGTCATCCGTGACGATGACGATGCGGGTACCGATGACGTCATTAGTGACGTCACTGATGGCTTCACCAGTGATGATGACGATGACAATGCGAATGTCGGTGACGTCATCAGTGACGTCGCTGATGACGTCATCAGTGATGATGACGATGACGATGCGGATGCCGGTGACGACATCAGTGACGTCACTGATGACGTCATCAGTGATGATGACGATGACGATGCGGATGCCGGTGACGTCGTCAGTGATGATGACGATGACGATGTGGATGCCGGTGACGTCATCAGTGATGATGACGATGACAATGTGGATGCCGGTGACGTCATCAGTGATGATGACGATGACGATGTGGATGCCGGTGACATCAGTGATGATGACGATGACGATGGGGATGCCGGTGACGTCATCAGTGATGATGACGATGACGATGCGGATGCCGGTGACGTCATCAGTGATGATGACGATGACGATGTGGATGCCGGTGACGTCATCAGTGATGATGACGATGACGATGTGGATGCCGGTGACGTCATCAGTGATGATGACGATGACGATGGGGATGCCGGTGACGTCATCAGTGATGATGACGATGACGATGTGGATGCCGGTGACGTCATCAGTAATGATGACGATGACGATGCGGATGCCGGTGACGTCATCAGTGATGATGACGATGACGATGTGGATGCCGGTGACGTCATCAGTGATGATGACGATGACGATGTGGATGCTGGTGACGTCATCAGTGATGATGACGATGACGATGTGGATGCCGGTGACGTCATCAGTGACGATGACGTCATCGGGGGGTCACGCGACATCGGCGGGGGTCACGTGACCTCGGGGGGTCACGTGACCTCGGGGGGTCACGTGACCTCGAGGAGGGGGTCATGTGACCTTGAGGAGGGGGTCACGTGACCTCAGGGGAGTCACGTGACCCCCCACGAGGTCACGTGACCCCGGTGGGGGTCTCGCGCGGTGCATTATGGGACATTTCCCATGATGCACCGCGCGGTTACGCCGACGGCGACGCCGACGGCGACGGCGACGGCGACGGCGACGGCGACGGCGACGCCGCTCAAGCCGGAAACGGGCCCCTAAGAGCTGCGCTCTAAAACAAAGGTAGGAAGAAAATGGGAGGGAGGGAGAGGGGTGAGAGAGGAATGGGAGATAGATGGAGATCGAGGGGAAAGCAGACATATTAGGAGGACACCCTAGGAAGGAGGGGCCGATGGGGAGAGAAAGCAGGGGAAGGGGGGGGGGGAAGAGGGCATAGAGCGAGGGAGTTAAATGTCACGCGACGTATATTTCTTCGTTGAATTTAGCGGGGAAACTGAATTTTTGCATAAGTTACATGATATCAGGTCACGGAACCTCGATTTCTACCGCCAAGTTTAGCAGTGAAACTGCATATGTGTATAGGTCATGTGATGTCAGTTTCCCGCTATATTTAGGGGCAAAACCGAAATGTATAGACCATATGACGTCGATTTCCCCGCTAAACTTAAAGGGAAAGCTCAATTAGAGATTAGGTCACAGGACGTGGATTTTCCGCTAAATTTAGCGAGCAAACTTGAATGACGTATAAGTCACGCGACGCCAATTTCCCCATTTGTTATAAAGGTCACGTGACATTAGGTCCCGTGAGCTCTATTTTTCCCATAATGAAACAGACAATGCGCGCACAGATTTACAGAGTGTTGAAATTGGGGTTAGCGTGTTAATATAAAAAAAGAATTATGAATGTATTACTGAATAGTGATAATGACCCAATTATAGTCATCTTGCATTCTTTTCCTTATTCGGCCCTTTGGTTCACACTACCACGGAATCTACCTGTTTTCTTTGCGGTGAGTAATGTTTGCAGAAGTGATTCGGCATCATTGAGCGCACGACGCTCAATGATCTTTTGACGAAGAAGTAGAACCTGTACATAAATTGCAACTAACGCGGTATCATCATCAGCGGGGAACATTTGTTATGGGGAATTAGAGACTGGAACTTAGAGAATACCAAGAAATGCCGCCAAGCCAGAAGCATTGGCTGACCAGCACATCGACTTTGTAACCCAACTCCGTGGGTTTGTCTCCAGGTAACTAAGATGGTCCTGGCAACGGTTTTTTTTTTTTTTCACTTACCAATTCATTTAAGAAAAAAGCTTGTCCATGAAATTTCAAGTCACTTGCTGACAAAGCCGGAGACAAACGTCAGAGTTGTAATCCTCGAGGTGCGCGAGCCCCAAGTTTATGGCTCCCGAGCGGGTCGTTCTACAGGCGACGTTTTTATTTTGTTTTTTGTTATTTTGTTTTGTTTATAGCCATATCGTTCATACAGACATAGGGGAACAGCTTTCAGAGTAATGTTATCAAAATTAATGATGTGCCTGTTTGCTGTCATTTTAATATATTGAGTTGTTTTCATTGCGACCGTGAAAGCACGACGAGAAACTCCAGGTGCGCATCAAACAAAATTAAATTGCAAGTTCCCTTTAGACATCAGCTATAAAAAGCGCACCATCGCTGCCCCTTAGCCTTATACAGTCCGTACTGCTTTAACGGGTTTTATGATGTTGCCTGTCCTTATGTTTGCCGCTTTCCAGATTCTTCTGAGATGTAGCGCAACGCCGCATTACCCGGAGCTTAATCCTAAGCTCCAAATTTACCAAGACGCATCTAAGGTATGTTCACATACATACAGTCTCGAGCGGTTTAATAGGAAACCAACTTAAGTGAATATTCATAAAAATAGTTGTAATGAGACTTACTTTGCCCATGAGCACATAGTAACTTAATTGTTGCACAAAGCGTACTGCTAAATTGACGTTTTAAATTGAATTGAAGTCATCTTTATTAAAACAAAAATATTTTAGCAGTTTCGGGTGCTGTGAGATGATTTAGAAGTCGACAACTCGAAGTATATCTTTGTAAGAAATATGGAGGGTGCTTGATTTGAATTCGATCTTATTATCGATATTTATTAAAACTTCGTTTCCTATTAAAATTCAATTCGATTTAAATTACAAAACATCTGTGACAGGTACACTAATGCTGTTTCTGTAGGTGAGTCATGTTGCCAGGGGGACATAATATAGAAGGCTCATTCTCAGTATAAATAGGGTTAATTAACTGAATTATCTCAATTAACCTCTAAATGAGCGAAAATAAACATATGGTTACAATTAGAAACTTGCGGAGCGTCTTCTAAAACCATCAAATAATTCAATTTTAGAACGATATGAGGCACGTAGAAATTGCGGGAGAACCAAACATGCGCAATGCTAGCCACGGGAAAACGAGGAGAATAATCTGATCATCCGCGTTTTCGCAGCGCCAGACTGGCGCCTGTTGCGCGAAAGGTAACTTTGGTGCACCCACGCGCTTCCCACGTACTTCATGTCGTTCTAAAGTTTGATTTAAGGATTTTAGAGGACGCTCAGCAGGTTTTTAATGAAAACCATATGTTTATTTCCCCCAATTTAGAATTTAATTAAGAAATTTTAGATAAGTATTCGATTTGTAGTAAGGATTGACCCTCTATATTATGTCCCCCTGGTGGTATAACTCACCTGCATAAACCGCATTAATGCACCTTTCAGAGATTGTTATTTTTTCTATACTAGTAGTAGTAGACACAAATATATATACTAGTACTAAATCTGCTCGAATTAAGAATAGAACAGCCTGTATGTTCACGTGTATTCGGCGTAAGCTTTTCCGATCTTGTCATGTACCGCTTCTTTTCTGAGTTTTAGCCAAGCAAAACAGTGTTCTATTGTGTCCTAACGAGTCTACACCAGGGAAGTTATTTCTTCCGACTAGTGAATCACAGGTTCGTTATTGAAACAGCCACCTACGCGTACAGGGGTTCCCGCTCGCCCAGACCTGGTACATGCTCTACAGAAACTATGAGAAGGACCCAGCATTTGGAACATCCAAGTGTTTAAGGCATAGTCACTTGAAGTCGGAGAAGGATGGACAATATCAAACCTTGGCTCAGTACGGAGAAAACCAGTCGGCGTAAGTCAAACCTGTGTTGCGCTGATCTCTCTACCTTTCCAATAAGTAGCAGACTGTGCATGACGCGCTCCCTGCAGGCAGTCAGTTTGTTGTGACACTAAGAAATAAACTTAGTTTGCTGCAGAGAAAAGTAAAAGGTAACGTGCTTTATTTACTTTCTGTCTGAGTTACGGTTCCTCGTTTTATATTTGGAGACACCTAAACCACGCCAACTTTGTCTTTGCTTCAACTCGCGCTGTGGCTTATAAGCCTCAAATGAGCAGTTCGTAGGGAGCGAACAATGAATTGCCAACATAATTGCTCAAGTCATCGGACCTCATTTTTATGTAAAAGGTGCCCCTTCGCCTGCGACCGGAAGAAGAAAAAAAAAGGGGGTGTCGTCGATGTTTTGTGCCTTTTTAAAAAGTGCGCCTATCTTTCTTTCTTATCAAGCTTCACTCCAGCATACTAAGGGCAGTCCGCACTTAAAAGTGAGGGTTGCTACCATCTTCTGAACAAAATCCATTCCAATTCCCACTATTCAGAGTGGGGATTGACGCACGCCAATGAAACCCTGTCTTTCCAAAATTTCCGTGCCTCGCGAGAGCAATGCAAGTTATTTTTGTGTGTTTAGCTATCACGGTATTTTTGAAAAATAGTATGCGCATCCAAAACCCAAAAGACGATTATTGAGCGTCTGCGTACAATATCTTTTTTTTTTTTTAATATTTCGTCTCTAAAAGAACAAATTCAGAAGCTTGTAACCGACTAAGGAATACCCGTTTCAACTAATATTTCAGTTGATATGTAGCAACTTACCGGTTAATCAAAGTTGTATTTTGTGATCATGAAGCAATTCTGAAAGTCAGCGGACGTCAGTATTGCTCTCGTTTTTACTTTCACGCTGACACAATTAACGCGACTACAAATTTTGTCAGGAATGTTAAATAAACAATTCCCACCAAAGCATTATTATGAATAAATATACAAATGTTTATTTTAGCCGCTGAATAAAGTAAAAATAATGAATGAAAAGTAAAAAGCATATAACTTTAATTACGCCGATGTAATGAATACGCCCCTTGACATACGCAAATTTTAAAAGCGAAAGGCGTTATTTTTGTTCGATAAACGCTGACGTTTGTAAAAACTACAACTTTCCTTTTTCACTCTACGGACGAATATCATCTCATTATTACATTCATACTTTATTATACCTGGCTTTTTTTTTTTTTGCAGTAAGGCGCGGACAACGCTAGAGTCCACTGAAGGATATACAGCCAAAAATCAGATAAACATTCATCCCGAAGGCCGTGAGTATATTTTTGCCGATTATGGAACCTCTAGGGTTGTTCTTGAATAAAACCAAGTAGATTAGAGTTATTCTAATGTGCCCGCGAGGTTCAGATAGCGCTAGTGTCTACGCGACTTAAAGTTGAAAACTTGAAGCACATAACAAATATTGTGTTCCTGTATTCCTATACTATAGACGATTGCAAGCAACGTCATTGGCCGCCTTCATGTGTCTCTGCGTGCGGACAAGCCGGCGGAATTTCAAGCTTGCCAAAGCTATGTTTAGGAGCAAGCTTCGCGTGCTTGCACTCATGGGGCACCAGGCGGTGCGCCGTGCTTGCAATTGTGTATACTCGATTAAAAGGTCCTTAAAAAAAAAAAAAGAGCTAGAGGTGAGTTCTAGAGTATTTTTATCCCGAGAATCCGGATATCACGTTCGTTTTCCGCGAAGATATAACTAAACGCGAGAAAACACGAAAAACCTCCGTCTCTACGTCATACCCAAATCTTTCGGCCGCCAAGCGCGTGTCGCTCGTGTGTGCGGCGCGTAAAATTGCAAGCTTGCCAGGCATATTCCCCGCACTCGCACCAGTCGTCGCATCTTCTTCGGACCTTTTAAGAATATAGCAAATGTGTTCGTGCGTACATTTTATAGGCGCTGAATATGCGCGAGAGCGGAGATTGCAAAAGCTCGGGATATGACGTCCCGCTCTCAAAAAGGAGCGTGACTTCAGCGCTTCTTTGAAAACGAATTCCTGCAACCTCCGTGCACAAAACTGGAAAAAAAAAATTCAATATTCGTGATCCTGGAGGCTACATGACGACGATTTAAGTGTTTCTACTCAAATTCATAAGCGCTTCGGCTTCCCTTTCATCTCCAACGACAGCCGACGCTTAGATCCGATGGAGCCAAGGTAGAAGCGCCAAAAGGACATCGTTGTGCTATTTGTGCCCCTGTGATTTGTTAATCTCATTATAGCAACCCCACAAAAACAGTAAAAGCCGTGATTATACACTTTTGGCACATCTTGATCAGCTCCCTTGAACCGTAAGGTCGGCTGTCTTCGGACTTTTAAAGTTAAACATTGGATTCGGTGTACACAGCGCCAAACTGCTACGTCCACTAAGCGATCGTCGTTTTTTTTTTCTGAAATTTTCTTCTTTCTGGAATGGGAACGTTGTCGTCGAGAGTTTTACAGGGCGGAGTATTTTCGTTGGGCGCACTCACCTAACCGGTAGAGTCTGGTCCCAACCAACGCATAAAATTTAAAAAAAGAGTCGTTTTTTTGCATTAAGAGTTTAGCGCAATGTACCCGTACGAAGAGCAGGTCAACCAAAAGGCGTCCGTTTGTACATGTTACTCAAGGCGCACACAAATGAAAAGTGTCTTGTGCACCAGGAAGTGGTCGGGAAAACATGAGAGGGATGGGTCACCTTTCAGTCGAAGTACGACACTTTTGGGTGACACTCTTTTGAATGGGGTCTCGGCCATGAGTCCTTCGTTGGTATTAGCGCGTCTGTTAGTATTTAATGTGCAGAAACTATGTAACTTTTTAAGTAAATGCGAGACATTCATTGCGGCTGCATGAGCACTGCATACTCTGCGCAAGGAGCACACGAAATTGCTTCCTCTGATAGGAGGATAGAAAGTTGTACAGTCAAAGACACAGTGCCTGCCAACTATTTAAACTACAATAGCATTACCGGAAATCGGTCTTAATCTGGTTCCTGTCTGCTTTTCATTTGCCACACCATACTAGAGTTAGCTGAACATCTAGCATACATTCAAATAAGTGATTTTTTTTCGCGCGTACCTGAATAATGCTTGTATTTACTAGAAAATCCACCATAGTTGGTGCATTTTGTTTCAGGGTGAGTGTGTTGCTTTCGGCCCGCCTAATATGCATGCTGCTTTTGTTTAATTTATACAGATAGTGTGTTTAGAAAAGAAGCCGTGAAAGCTACATTTATGCGGTTTGCGTATGTCAGCTATCCGGCCAAGGGGACATAGTATACGGGGCTAATCATAACGATCGGTCAGGTAATTAAGTATTTTAATTAACATTTTGATTAGTAATAATAGACATATGGTTTAGTTAGAAACTTGCTGAGCGTCAGCCAAAACCAAAATAAATCAATGCATTTTAGATCTAGTTTGAGCTCACGGGGAGCTCAGTAGTGGACTACGTCTACCGCTCGTGCAGCAACTACAAAGCTGGGGCTATGATAAGAGACGAATAAGCCTTGTACCTGCTCCAGGAGCGGTAACTTCAGTGCGCTACTGTGCTTCGCATGCGCTCACAGTTTTTTTCTGAAAACTGATTTTCGGTTTTTCGATGACGCTCAGCAAATTTCTAATTGAAACTTCATGTCCATTTTTACTCATCAAAAAGTTTATTCACAATTTTTTCTTAATTAGCCGACCGATCGTTACGATTAGCCCCTATACTATGTTCCTTTAGCAGTATAACTCATACTCACAAACCGCATAAGTGTAGCTTTCACGGCTTTCTTAAAAGAAATACGTTTAGCTAAAAACAAAATTGTATATGGTTAATATCAAATAAGCTCTTCTCAACCCGTATTTTTCAGAAAATATGACGCTTTCTTATTACATCTCTTTCGTGGATGTGAAAAAATGCGCTGTCAGCAGGAACATCTACGTCAATGGTACGAACTTTTTTGACGTATTGGTTTGCTTTCAGTATCTGCGCTGCATGGAATATTCGAAGCAATCTTTCTATACAGAAATATAGTTTTAATCCGACATATCACCTTAAATTATACCTTGAAAAGTACACTATTTTCGGTCTCTGCACGTGAGTTATACGGCCAGGGGCTCATTTAATTTATGGGGGAGGGGGGTGCTAAGTGTCACATTAACTGTGATAATTAATAATTTTCGTTAATTAACAATTTTAATTTGTGAGATTGACTTCATAGTTTTAATTAGAACCTTGGTGAGTGTCATCGCAAATCACTAAATCATCAAATTTAAGAAAAAAGCGCGGAGGTGCGTTAAGGTTACAACTCATGCAACCGGCGCAAGGCTGGCGGTGCAGAAACGCGAATGATAATATATCATCCGTGTAGTTTGCACCACCAGCCTTTTGCAGGTTGCACGACAGGTAATTACTTAGGCACACGTCCGCGTGTTTTCTCTGCACCGAGCCATTAGTGAATTTGGTTTACTGGTATTGGTGAGGCCCAGCAAGTTTCTGATTAGAACCATGGGTTCATTTTTAATGATTACACTATTTAACAAATGTTAGTTAATGAATCAATTTGTAATGATCAGCACTTATATTACGTACCATAGGCCTAAGATTCACCTAGACAAACCGATTTGTGTACCTTTCACTACTTCTCTTTTTATAAATCTGTTGCAAAAATGTTCCAAAAGCCGGGATTCATGATTAAAAACAAATACCTCCGACTTGCATAACAATATCAACATTTATCAGACGTTTCGTCTCCTATACGGGAGACATCATCAGTGCGGCCTGGGAACACCCGACTAGCTACCAGCGTTGGATTTCTGGTAGCTAGTCGGGTGTTCCCAGGCCGCACTGATGATGTCTCCCGTATAGGAGACGAAACGTCTGATAAATGTTGATATTGTTATGCAAGTCGGAGGTATTTGTTTTTAATTATAAATCTGTTCCAAGTAAAATTAATAAACACCCTGTATTTAAGCCCTCATGTGAGACGAGTTAGTGTGCAGGCCAGCTGAGTGAATTTGTCATGTTGAACTTCCCGGGCCACTCAGCGACAGAAAAAAACGTACACATTATCACATAAATGGGAGTTGCATTTTTGAATGAATATTTTAAATACATTCTAAAATCCGTGCGGAAAACAAGCGGCGCCGCAGCATTGTTCCCAAGGGACCACACCGCGGCGCCCCTTGAAAGAGGCGACGTTCGGCAAGAGTATTGCCTAGGCAGAGAGTGAAACTTTAAAATATTTATTACATGAACTACTGCGTTGGCAGGTGACCAACTCATTACAAAAATAGTCCTTCAGAAACTAGGTCTTCCTTGTTTTAGTCGCTGCAATGACTGTAATAAAAACAAGGGGCCAAACAAAATTATTTCGTTTTTGCAATCCCGGCCGTAGGCCGAACCGGGCTTAGTAATCTCTTTAAACAAATGTCAGCTAAGATGAGCACACCGCAACACACCACGCATGACGGTACAGTTCGCGCGTACCATTCTACACTATAGACGGCCATGGAAAGCACACAATCACTTCATGCACTTTTGAAAGCCAGGAAAAAGCACCGACCATCTTTTTGCAGTTATGCCCACTCACTCCACTATGGAGCGAAACGTTATTTAACCAAAAGGGGGCGAGAACTACTCCTCATGTCAATCTCATTCGCGACTGTGACTAGTGAGTGTTGTCCATTAGTAATTCACAAATTTCTGCAGAAATTAAATTACTGCAATTGAATGACTAAGTTTTGCTATTTTTGAACAATTTCAAATTCTAATATACCAATTCTACTCAAACGAATATTTTTTTATAACTTTGTAACACTGCGATCTAGTTATATAAAATCATGTAGATACAAAAATACACTAAGAACCTAACTCCCTGTCCATCTGCGGACTCGTGGGTCATAGGAAGCCCCAACCACAACCGTTTGCGCACAATTGGCAAACAGTCGGAGCAACAAGACGCAATTGGGAATATAGAAAGTGTTACATAAAAGTACAATGTCCTCCATTTTTAGGATTGAGAGAAATGACAAATATTATAATTTCGATGTGCACATTGAATATTTTACAGTGACGCATGACTGAAACCCGGTGGAACTTCTATTTCACTCTTACAGTGATGACAAACACTGTTTTTGCATCTATCTTACGTTTCATTCACACTGTCAATGGAACCATATTTGAGAGGTTGTTGCGAACGTAATTGGATTAAAATTCGCTTTAGTTTCACGCACATTTGAAAACGGAACTGTGCGGCTCCGGTTCGGTTTTGGGATTGAAACGGAACCGTGAAAGCAGCATAGCTTCTACCCAACTGCAAGGAAAAGAATTCAAATAAGTTTATTATTTTTGAACTAATTATAAAATAACTGTCATGTGTCATACTGAGAGCTCGTCTTCTTATTACACCAGATTAAAATAGGTGAATCAAAATCCCATTATGTGGCGAAAGTAAGGTCCCGTATATCGAACAATACACGGTTTACACACAAGCTAGCGTGTTTGGCTACACCGGGTGTGGGCAATGCTCGTGCGCAAAAGCCAGATTCGCGTGAGGCGAAGCATCTGCGCATGTGCAGTGCCGAATAACGCCAGAAACTGCGCATGCGCATTGCCGACAGCAGTGCCACCATAGTGGCGTGACGCTACAGAGTTCAGTTGACCAATTTGTAGCACATCGTATACAAATCTCTCGGCGCCGTTGAAAAAACTTAACTTCACTTCGGTGCGGAAAAGTACTATTGTATTATACTTTAATATGATAACATGAAAAGGAAAGTAATTGCAATATGATTGCATCATATTGTCAAATTAGGGAACTTTTAAAGTGTTTCTTGTTAACTAGTAATTCTAATTCTACGTTATTAACTGCTTTTGTAACAAAATTAGTTTCAAATGTAATCATTCTGCAGTGTATTTGTGACCCCATCTACCCCAGTATAGCAGTTTTATTTTCATCGTACACACATTCACATCATGGAAGCAGATTAAAGCTGACTTGGACGTAGTTCAACTACTCCACTCAAACTACTGTAGTTTAACTACTTTTCCAAGTAACTTGGTAACTTTCAATTACAACTTTATTTAAGTAATTAGTAGTTTAATTTAACTACGTTCTTCAGGTAACTTCTACTCAAACTAGTAACTACTTTCGAAATATAGTGCTAATATTGCTCATCACAAAGGGTTGAGCTCAGAAATGAATAAAACGCCGGCAGATGAAGTGGCAATCCCGAGCAAAGGGGCCCCTCGCATTCCGTTCCCACGCACTTATTCTCGGCAGCCGTAGAAACTGCATCACAGGCATCCTTTTGCCAAGGTGGCGACGAGCAGCAAAAACATAACTTCGGCGCGCACGAACGCAGGAAGAGATGTTTAACAACCCTTGGTGGGGTATTGACCTAGTCCGGTAATGTACGCAGGCGCCGCGCCTCCAGTTGCAGCCGTGAGAGATGGGGACGCTCCAGGAGTTGTTGTGTTCATGTTGTCTGCCTTTAGTGCGTTCTGACTCAAGCGGTTTGGGGGTTCCACGGGGGGCGCCACTGGAATGACCTCGCAGCTGGGCGCCTGTTCCCATGGTCGCCTCGTCGTCAGCGCATAGTCCCTTGCAAAGTCGGACTCCGCCACGCACAAACGCAGACACGGATAATGTGTTCATGAGAGCACGTTCCCGCTTCAACTGCAACTCTACGAGCGACGATGCTTGTTCACGTAATCCTTCGCGTCCTTCCGACCTTCCACACCAGCAAGACCTCCTCTTTGTTGAAAACGATTTACTTGTCAGGCGTGTCAGGATACAGTAGTCGCCGGCGAGGATCGCGACTCACCCTCGGGAGATCCTTTTGGTGGACCCGGCGTCAGCGGCAAAGCATAATTAGTTTAAAAAAATCAGTAGAGTAGCACCAGCACTGCAACGAGACGCACAGTCGCCGGACGATCTCATCGTCGTGGTGCGAGACTTGAACCCTTGACGGTCAGGTGCACTCGCTCAGTGTACTCTCCGAACGTCGTGGGAATAAAGAGGGGCCAGTCATAACAATCTCAACTTGCCGAAGAAAAAAAAAAAAAAAAGAGGAGAGTTTGTTGTAAAAGACGCTCTAGCCAAGCAAACCTCACATGTTTCGTCATGGACACCGAAGATGCCGACACTCGCTTACCGGAACCTGCACAGCCTGTTTCTGCAATTCAATGCTGCGGTTCCATCCAGCCCGTCGGTGGAAAGCCTTTTTAGCTTGGCTGGAGGCGTATTTAGGACGAAAAGAGAAAAACTCTTTGATAAGAACTTTGAAAGTCAATCGCTTCTTCGAGCGAATAAAATGTTTTGGCGAAAACGCAAGCCATGAAATGACTGCATTTTTTTTTAGCTCTCAGGATTTTCACGGATCAAAACCGCTGCTGATTTTTCTACCACAAAAATATAAAAAAGTAACTTCGAAAGTAACTTTAAAGTAACTCGCTACTTCTCTTACAGTAGTTACTAGTTTACTTAATTACCATTACGATGTGTAATTTCTACTCTACTCCAATTACGTTTGGCGTCGATGCTCAGTGGCTTAACTACCCGTTTTGAGTAATTTATATATGTCTAGATTAAAGCACCACCTTACCGCTCACAGGCGCATTTGTAAATAAATACCACGACATTGTGTAACCGTATTGACTCGGGACACTATTGGACCCAAGTTACTCCGGCAAATCAAATCACGTGACAACACGTGTTCAGAAGCGCAAAGCGGGTAGGTTTTCCAACGATAATATACAAAACCATTAGTGTGGGCTGAGAGCGACAACAATTGTTGTTAAGATTTGTAAACGACAACAGCTGTTAAATGGCCTTCATCATTCTGTTCACCTGTCCGAACACGTCGATGCCATTTTTATTGACTTGGCAATTGATCGTGTACCACATAACCGGTTCACAAATAAGCTGACTAAACTACACTTATGCACAAGTGTTTTTGAATGGATTGAAAAGTTTTGATTAACAGGCGCCAATCAGTTGTGATTGGCAAATGCTCCCCTCTTCCGATGACGTCATGTGTCCCGCAGGGGTCTGTACTGGGTCTTGTGCTCTTTCTTCTGTTCATAAATGATCTTTTCTTTGTCAGCAAATCTTGCGCTCGTTTATTAGCGTATGACTGCGACGTCTGTCGTCCCGTTATGAACCCTCATGATAGTACAGTTTTACAAGATGACTTAGACACAGTTTCAAGCTAGTGTGACACGTGTTTGATGAAAATAAATAGCATAAAACAAAATCTGTGACTTTCATCTCGAAACGACATCTCACCCGTCACACGTACTTCATTGGTAGTGACGCCGTTGAAAACGTCTCGTCCTTTGAATATCTTGGCGTTCATCTCTCATCGGACTTAACGTGCAACCTTCACGCTGAACAGATTGCTAACAAGGCGTCGCGAACTCTTTTTATGATTTCTTCAATGAACACTGTTCTAAGCAAATTCAGATACAAAACTTCTTGCCTACACTGCCCTTGTCAGATCTCAACTTGAGTATGCATCAATCATCTGGCACCTTCATCAAACGCATCTGGCAGATAAGAATAATATAGTCAAAACAAAGCTGTTAGATTTATAGCTTGCGACTGCTCTCGATTTGCAAGTGCAAGAAGTTGAAAACTTCGACTTAACGTGTCACTTCTTCATACAAGGAAGCACCTCGCACGCGTACCATTTATTCATAAACTTTATTACAGTCCCTCGGCCGTTAGGGATTCTTTCCTACTACCTGGATCACCATATATCGTGCCGTTTCGATCACCTTTTCAAAATTATTCCCATATTTGCACAAACCAACATGTTTAAAAACTCTCCACTACTCCGCGCTATATCGGACTGGAACAGCCTTCCCAGAGAAATAGCCTCCACTAGAGATCATCAGTCCCTTGTCTCCGCTCTAAACATGTTAAACTGTGAATAGTCTTGTACCACTGCAATGTTTGTGGTTGTCAATGTATTGCATCTGATGTACATGTTTATATTGTGCGTTATATTGTTTATATCTTATATTTGAGGGGCGAAAATGCGCCAAATGTTTTGTACCTTTATCTTTTTTTTAATTTGTCTGTCTTTGTTACTACTTTGTTTAGTCGTACCAAATTTGGTTTCACGTTCCCCTTATGTAACGCCCGAGAGGGCCTTTAGGGTAAAATATATAAATAAATTGGGAATACGACCACTGCATGCCGCGGACTCAAAGAACAAGGGAGGGGGAAGTCTGTGTGGCCTTTCGCGGCAACACACCCACAGCACCGTCGGGGCGCTATGACGGCAAACCAGAGCGATCTATTAATTGACAGAGTCTTTTTACTCAGAAACGCAACTATGCTAAAAATGTCGTTTTTGCCTTCTACCGTTTTTCTTAAGCTTGCGTTCTTTTTAAGATTGTATCTTCGACAGTAGCTTCATTTATAGCACAATATAACAGAGAATATTTGTTAGGAACGATCAAAGATTTTGCTTTGGTTGTCGTTTCCGCAATACAGCTCATAAAGGCTTTATGTACGGCCGCATTAAACATTTCGGGGGGAGGAGGGGGGGGGGGGGGCGAGCAAAAGGAAGTCATAATACTTTAGCTTAACAGTGTTTCTACCCCCAACAAAGTTACTAATAAAAAAAACTGAGTTGTAAAAGAAAGGGAACGCTCCATACAAACCACGAAATAACATGAAAAGCGCACATCTTGGTTCAGCCAATGAACATATTTTTAAAAGGTTTTTCAGCAGAGAGAGTGGGAACGGCTGGAATGGAAGGATTCAATGCAGTTTCATGAATTCGCTAACTTAGTTTATGGGAAGCTGACGTTTTTTTTTGTTTTTTTTTGTTTACTTCCCTTTGCTTTTAGAGGTGTGTGGGAGTAAGGCCGTATATTTAGAGGAGGTGAAGGCTCTCTTAACATGAATCATGCGACTTTTATTTTTAAGAGGATAAAACAACCGCAATTTACGTATTTCAAATATATTCAAGGAGGGTGTCTAACATATACCTTTGAACCACGCAGAGGATGCTTGCTCTGTCGTCGTTCCCGAGGACCAGCTTGGAAAAAGTACCACCTGCTGCGATTTTATTTACGACCTGCTCTGCGGTACTAAGAAATTTCAAATATCAGACACCAGCTGCAAGAATCAACACTGAGGAAAACAACAGGACATTTTCGACGCGTATGTGCCTTAAAACTGAACTTCGCTCAATGAGAGAACTGGTGATGATTGGTTATACCAACTTGAGCGATGCTAATTACTCTAAATCAAAATGCATATTTAAGAAAAATCGGATGGAGTTATGCTTTAGTGCCTCAAGAACGGAGTAGTCCAAATAAAGTTAAAGCCATTTTCTTCTTTTGAAAATAATAACACAAATGTAAGTCTTAGTTTATAAAGGCTAAGCGAATGTAACTTTTTTCAGTCTCTTACTCATCATTTTCCTCATAATATCATCAGGTGGTAAAAATTAGTCTACAGTTGAATTTTGCACAACGAATAATAAAATTGTTCAAATATCTGTTGTGTCCGAATTTGTGAATTTTCGCGCTGACTGGTTTTCACAAAGAATATGCTATCTACGGTGATGAAGAATGCTTTACAGCAACATGGGATTTTAAATTCAAGTCAACGTGGTAACGCAACTGGACAGACACAATAACTGCTCTGCGTTATTCATGTAAGACAACGTCAAGGCCGCAATTAATATCTCCAATATACTCCGTCTATTATTTCTCGCGGGTTTTCGCTCCCTCTTAAAACAGGAGTTGCTAACATTTCATTTACGACAAACGGATAATTGAAATAAAATCTTGAAGTTGTGACAAGACACCACAAGTAGGTATTCTCTAGACCATAATCAACAGACGGTATACAAATCGCGGATGCGAATCTCATTAAAAAAAAAAAAAACATTTTTTAAATATTTTGGCAACTAACCCACACCCGGCGCATATTGGCGTCTCCAGCTCGTTGCTCGCAATCCTGCGGCGGAAACGGGAAGCGCTCTAGTGAGGGTCCCCCGATCCTCCTGCTCAGTGAGCGCGGCGGAACTGCTCCCGATCATGGCTCGCGAAATGTCTTTTTCGAATGCAAACAACACTTTTCACTGCCCCGAAGTATGGAATTGTACCCATTGTACCCAAACGGTATGGAATTGTACCCATACTGGAGAGTTTGAGTATCGCGTATAGATGGAAGCAAACGCAAGCTGTGTGCGTTTGCGTTAGAGTTGCGTGCCCCACGGTGTGCGTGAGCGTCATCAATATGCGCCAATCCAAAACCGCAATTCGCGTGTTTCACACTGCGCATGCGAAGTGTGGAACACGCAAAATTGACGCAAAAACACAGCACTTCCGTTCGCTCGTATAGGCAATACTAAAACTCTCTACTGTTTAACCGGCTTCCAACGCCAACGAAACGTGCTGCAGTGAGCAGACGTGCAAGCAGGTAGGCGTTCCTTTGAGCTGCAAAGGCTGAGATTGGCAAAGCGACGGAACGTAAAAATGTAAGTAACTAAATGTAATCAAAAAAGATTGATAATGACTAGAGAAATTTTAGAAGTATGCGATTAAAAAAAGGGATACAAAATGCGTCAGTCAGACGTTGCTACATTTATACAGCTGAGATATTGCCTTTCTAGAGACAAAGCTGTATTGAGCAAGGATCTGCACCATCAGTAAGTGTCGGGAACTTTGATAACTTTTGTAATATGCTCATTGGCCGCGCAGGGATGTACTATCGGGGAAAAATGAAATGCGAACAGAAGAGCGCGTGGCTCGCGGTACAGGCTGCGCCGCCTGGAAGTGAGCCTAGGAGCGAGGGTGCGTAGCCTACTCCGACGTGTTCACGCCCCTCGCTCTCCAGGCAGCACTAAACGTCGTGGAGACGTCGAGAAAAAGTCCCGGACGTCCGTGACGTCCCGTATGACTTCGATCACGTTTTTTCGACGTTGAGGTGACGTCCTTATATAACGGTCCATTAGAGTCCAATCAGTGACGTTGTGACGACGTTGTATTTCAACTCAAACGTCGTCAACGTTCCCACGACGTCGATGCACGACGTTCTCACAACGTCCAACGCTCACGTTTCTTTGACGCTGAACTGAAGTTCATAATAGACGTCCCACTATTGTCCTGTCCGTGACGTGCTGGCGACGTCACGTTTCAACTTTAACGTCGTCATCGTCGCCACGACGTCAAGACAAAACGTTTTAGCAACGTCGAACACTCCCGTGTCTTCAAAGTTAAAATAAAGTCCAGGGTGACGTTACATTATTGCCCCGTCAGTGACGTTTCAGCGACGTCGCGTTCACACCTAAATGTCGTAAACGTCATACAAGACGTGCTGGCAACGTCGACCACTCACGTTTTGTTCGACATTTTTACATTTTTTAGCTCAATCTCCAGCCGCAGAATCACTGTGGTCAAGGTGACAGTGCTCAAGAGCCGCAAACAAAACTTAATTTATGAGAGGTTGAGAAGTTTAATTATTTATACATTAATTTGCGTATTTCAATATGCTATTAATTGCACATCGATGACGCTAAAGAGGGCATTTACAAAACTCAATGTAAACGGAAGAAAAAAATAATATGAAAGCATGTTGGGAATATCATTCCTTTTAGATTTGCTTGTTATAATTTTGGTTTGTTTAAAATATTGCTACGGGTTTAATTTGCGAAGCCCATCGCGTCTAGAACGGATCGAATTGTACCATTCTTGCATTTTCCACGCGCGTTGTCGTTTTCCATGAGTCGTGGGCCCTGGCACGCGCCTCAGGGGCGCCGCTACACTATCCCCTCTCCAGGTGATTTCAGGCCTGCATCCTTTCCTAGGAGCATCCATACTGCTCCGCGACCACCCGAGATCGTTTTAAGGATCGTCAATTTGTCTTCGTATTTTGTAACCCATGCTCACCTGCGCACAACCAAAAAATTCGCATCAACATCACAGTTCATTCATAACACCAACTTCCAGCGCCTTAGCGCTTTCGGTAGATCGGGGCGCAAAGTCTTGTCACGCGACTGTCAATACAGATCTGTCTGTCTATGCTGGAAAAAGCGATGAAGAAACTTCATCGTCACGTCGCCGGTGGGAGGAGCCTAATCTCAATCGGCGGCGAACTCAACTGGCAGGGAACTTCATCGCGGCGCGTTGATGACGTCGACGGAGAGTGGCGATTGAGTTGAAACTTCATCGGGATGTGTCCCCAAAATATGTCCCTAGAGGGAAATGCGCAACGCCGCATCGAAGGGTCTTGTAAAAGCAACATTTTTAACTTCTGAAAATGAATAATGCGGTGCAATCTAAATATAATTACCGGTGTCAAGTCTAGGTCGCATGAATCATGTCTTTTTACGTAAGTGAAACAATTTAGATGATCGCAATGCGTGAGCTGCATCGCGATCGTGATGAATCGTCATGGCCGACGGTGGATGTCGCACGTAAAGTGCTCGTGTGTCTGTACGAAGATTTGCCTCACTTTTGGAATTTTCGCTGTCAAGTCGGGCTTTTTCACGTCGCGATTACCACTCGGCAGTCTGGTGGGGGACGTGAACCAAGTGTCCTCGCTGAACTCGAGTAGTAGGACAGAATCTTGGCCCATATGAGAAAGGTTCCTCGCTAAGACACGGAAGAAGGCGCATGATTTTGAGGGCGGACGCGCCTCGTCCGTCGCCACACGGCATCTTGGCTGCAGTGTCGGTAAGTAAGTGCATGGCATCTCAATGGGCGGTTTTAACGTACCGTTGCCGTGCGCAGCGAAATTGCTACTGGGAGCTCGCGCTGTAACTTAGAAGCATGATTTTCAGCGCGCTTAAAGCCTTACCAGCCGTACCGTGGCCACCGCAGAACACGGTAACGGTCTCCTAAAACTTGCTACTTGTAGTAAACAGACACTGTGTTGTTTTTGGTCTTATTGATTTTGCACGAGTGTGCTGCCTCGTGATGTTTCTTTGAAAGCTCGGATCGTAGCGCTCAAGCTGACGAGTTAATTTCTCTAGAGCTGTACATAAGGCACTCCGATACCTGAATTCTAAAGTGTAGGCAATGGGCATTACACCAACGTGGAACCAGAAAGGCTGCCAATGTGTTGTGCGTTAACTTGTGTTTGATTGGATGATGCAGGACTCATCTGCTGTGGCTAAAGGTGCTAGTGAGGACCCAGCACAGATGGCAGCTCCACCACCACCAAATGGTAGGTATAAAAAACAGTCTGGATTCATCTCCATAATACGTGGTTTGCGCCTGTGTCAGGACATATATTATGCATGAGTGCCGTCGGTAGCCTCATGCTGGGGGCCATTGATGTTGTGGGGTTGCAGCTTTGCTACACTGTGATCATGGTGAACTGCGCTGGCTCCAGTGGCCCAAAGTGACAGCTTTTGTACTTATCTCAGCAATTTCACAAAAATGTGACCATGACCTGCACTGTGCATAACTATGTAGAAGATGCTGTCATTAACCTATTGCGCCTGGTCGGTAGCTCCCAAGGTGACTGTAGGTCCAACCGTGTTGATGTTTCTAGCAAGGTGACACCTCAGCAAGACCATAGTGCAGAGACAATCCACACATGGTTACTTGAGTTTTGTGTCGGACAAGACACAGATCCAATTAATGAGACTGTGTCAGTAAAAAGACGGTGCCTCCGGTCCTGTTTCCCAACAGCAACCTGCTTCCACCGAACATTCCCGGCAGCACCACATCTATCCACTGCCCTGAAATTGACAAGGGAATGACACTAAGGCAAAACTGGCTCACCAATTCCAGAACCGGTGTCTGCTATTTATATAAAAGGTCCACTTCTAAAAATATTTGTGCAAAGGGCTGTGGAAGCAGGACGCACCCGGCTGGGCATTGCCTGTCGAACTCGGCAAAATCATTGGCGTGCAGTTTTGTATACTTCTCTTCATTTTTTTCACTCAGGTATTCACATCCTCCACCTTTGGCTAGATATCACAATCTGTCACAGTTGAGAGTAAGTAGCGGATGGTTCTCGCCACCACACAGAGCAATATTTTCTGCGTACTGAACAGGACAAACACGGACAAACTTTGTCATCATCACTTGACGGTTTAAACTTCTGCCTAGGCTTAGCCCAAGTGCCTGCACTAGCACATATTTCCCCGCACGTCTCCGAGCAAGCGCGCTTGTG